ATTCATCGAACAGAAGGAACGAAAGGAGAAAGCATCTCGGCAATAAGCATAAAGCCATTGGAAGATTCGATTTGTGACTGCCGTGAAAGGTTTTCATTTCCAATCACACACAGATCAATAATGTCAATTTTTCACCTGACGCTCTGTATGAATAAGTATACATATTTACTCTGATAAAAATTTTCGTTGAATCTACGTTTATGTAAAATGTTCGGAACGATTTTGTTTGAGCTTATAATACAAGCACAAGTGGGAAAAATATTCCTTGAACAGCCCTCAACTTAAAATTCTCCTCAGGATGTCAAGCTCGTTTTCAAACTCAGCTGCGGGTTGTCACATGTAATTTTCCGCGGCTAATTCATCTGTTTATGCTCTGTGTAATACCAGATGTTATTCGTGATAGAAAGAAAAAGTGTGCTTGGGAGCACAAAAACAAAGAAATAATAAAAAGCATAATAATGAATATGAGAATGCGAATGCGAAAAGAGCCCCAAGAACAGACGGGTGACATTAGCATACAAGCAATGACAATGGAGGGGAGAGCCAGGACGAGGGGGAAAAGATCCAGGCGGGAGGACGTTTCGAGGGGCCAAGGCAGTTGCAAATGCCATGGGTTAGTTCGCCTCGCATTACGTATACGCAGCGTGAACAGAAAAAATTACGAATAGTCACGTAGCAAAAGTAAATTCAACCCTCCTCACACTCAGAGTTAGTCGGTGTGTAGATCCCCAAATATTCAGTATATTCTGCGGTGTGTGCATATGGGCGACTTCTGCCAGCCATTTTAATAATTGTTGGGGCAATTCACTGGTACTAAACTCTCACTCATTTGCCCGTGGTCAGCTGAAATGTCACCCCAGGCAATGGAAACACAAAAAAACTCAAAGCTGGCCATAAACTTTATACTTGTTCATGCTGTATGCATGAGATGTATGAATTGCAGAGTGGAGTGAATATTTAAATTCAACAGTTGGACATGCAAATAGTTCACAAGGCTGAGATATTTACTTTTAATTTCCATGTCATGCATATTTTGTGCAGCACTTAAATGCAGCACGGATTGCAAAAGTTCCTTAAAATTGTGGGATGTCTCACTTAACCAAGCTTATCTGCAATACGGCCAATACGGGTTGGCAGTCAGTAAAATTTTGTTAAAAACTTTTAAGTCCTGATACGATCTACATTATGTGAAAAAATAAATAAAAGTTTTTATGGCTATGCAAAAAATGGGACACTGGATATGATTATCGGTCTGTTTGTCTGTGCCGCTTTTTCAGTTTTTTATATCCAACTCCGAGCCATAACAAAACAATTTTGTTTACCCTCTGTTGTCTGACCCACTCTCCACTTGGAAACTCAAACAGGCGACGCTGAAAACAGCCCGATGCCTCGGGGAAATCTCTGGGAAACTAGGAAAATGTCGGAACGGGATTTAATGGCTGACTGAGCTGAAAACTAGTAAGAACTTCATATGGGAATGAGTTTAAACGTTTTGGAAAAATATTTCATTAGAACTTCGTTTATTTTGTCAGCAGATTTTGATATATGAAAAGTAAACGCATCGGATATCAGTAGGTCCTTTGATAAAAATGTTTGGTTTGGGATGAATAATAAAGCCGCAGGGAATTCAATTTCAACAAGCCCCAATAAAAAATGTATGTATTTAGTTACGAACTAGTTACGAATTGAAATTTTGTTTAGGATTTTGCATTATTTGTCGATGCAGATCAGAAAATAACGACTCTGAAATCTAATCTAAGTGGATTACATTACATTATATGGAGTTTATTAATAATTCAAATCAGAAACCTATTAGCTTTTACTGGAAAAACTCCACCTGGAGCCTTGCATACGCTGGATGAAATTAAAATTTTACGAGGAATTTGTCAAAATTCTGCCTGAGCACTTAAGTAGGTGTTTAAGTGCCGAAGGGGAAAAGGGAGAGCCAACACCAAAAGTTGATGTTGATGTTTAAGCCTGATGTGTGATGCCTGCTAAGACAAAGTTTGCATGCTGTCACCTGTGGGATTTTTTAAGGGTTACAGGGGGAGGAACTGCGGTTTTCTGTGGGCATCGTTTTCATTGTGTAAATATTTAAGCACTGGAAATCCCTGACACACACTTCCTGTCAGCTTATTTGAAGGTGTTGTTTCGTGCGATGAGTTTTGAATTTTGTAGAGCTGAGCTGGATTATCTAATTATGGTAATCGCCTCACGTACAAGGATTCTCTGGAGTGGATGACTAAAGCTGCAGGATTGTGTCTTTTATTTTTGGAATAACTGACATATACCTCAACGCGCACGGACACTTTACGAGGAGATTCACACTTTAAGGCGCACTGCGCCAATAACTTCTCTTTATTATTTTAACAATTCTCTACCGTGTGGGAATAAATCTTAAGAAGCGAACAAAATATATGTCAGGGGGCATTATACTTTAATGTTTTCTCATTGCGCCAGACTTGGCTTCGTCCGCAGAAAATGGCAGCCAACAGGGAATAAATGTTGGTTGCAGACTGGCAGGGATTACTCATCAAACCAAGTGCAGTCTGTCCAACGTGGTGGAAACCGCACAGAAAGCCACTAGAGACCTGCATTTAATTATCTTTATTTTTAAAATTTCCCAGAAGGTCATTTCCTTTTTATCTTTGCACAGCCGTGTCGCAGAATTATGCGATTTCTTTATTTAATTGATATCGGGAACTCTTTATCTTTCTTTCTAAAAGAATGGGGATCTTTTCGATTTTGTGGATAAACAAATCAAGATTATATACATATAAAAACTGAAAGGGTAAACCAATCAGGTAGAGAACAAAAGTGAATGGGGTTAGGCCAATCAGAGCCACTCAAAACACGCAAGAAATAGTCACAATGGAATGGAAGGTGAGCCAATTGAAATCAGAATAAAATTGCTATCGCTGATTTAGCAATATGATTCACCCAATATACGAAAAAAGAGAAAAAGAGGAGAGTGTTTATATTGTAAGTAAACATAGAAAGGAATTCCCAAACATATTGATAATTAAATGCTCAAGAGATTTGTAAATATATTACCAATTTATTCTCTTTTTTTTTTAATTACACATGAATCAATTTTTCTATCCCCACATAAGACACTGAAAACTCTGCCTTTAAAAGTTCAAGTTCCAAAGGAAAGCAAATATGGTCAGGAAAAGAAGAATACGTATAAAATGCACCAGGAGACATAAACAAACATACAAGAAAAACAAGAGCTGCAACAATTTTCCAACTTTTGTAATTGGCAGGAGAGGAAGGCAGTGGCCGAGACGCAAAGGAGACAGAATCACTGGGGGGAAAAGTCACCCAGACAAGTTTGAATGAAAAATTTCAGCAGATTCTGTTCTTATTTTGGACTGAAAGGAAAAAAAAAATAAGAGGAAAGTGCTGCTGCCAGAAGGCAGCAATCAGGACAAGGCGGAACGGACACCACGAGCAACTAAAAATGTCCTGCCACATTTTCGCACACAGGGAAAAGTGAGCTTTTTGCGGCTTAGAATGCAGATTGTTGGCTTGACCACGTACGAGTTTTATATTTTATGTCTGAGTAGCCCCCTTAAGCCCAACTCATTATTCATCTCCGGCTGAGCAAAATTAATGAGCCTGGCGAACCACTTTACCACTTCACACTGTTGTAAAGTTGCCAGCAAAGCATTATTTCTTTGTTTGCATTCAAGTAGCCGGATTAAATGGACTCGTTAGAAACCCAAGTTAGCCAAATAAACTGCAGAGCGATGCATATATGTATAAGTTCGACCAAATAAGGACTTATTTACATTACGAGTTTCCATTAAATTTCTAACAACATTTATTTTGTTATCTCATCAAAATCTGGATACAATTATTTGTCTAGGCTGCTGGGAACTCTTATGTTCTAAGCCGCATTAGTCCTTATATTTGTACCAATTAGTCGCTGCAAATTTGAGATTCACTAAATCTTTTCTAGAGCACCGAATACAATTACCTAGCCACCGTGATTTATTGGGTAATTGATAGTAGATAATGGCTGGGAAAGTGCCGTATTCGGTTATATTCCCCTAGGTAGTTCATTGTTGTTATTCAATTAATGAGCATTTCAGGGACATGGTTTTATAATTTTGTAATTCCTAAATTAATAAAGCTATCATATTAATTTAAATACAATTCGAATTCAACAACAAAACTTGAAAAGTCGACAGTAAGCCATTGAATAATTCAGCAGATGACAATAAAATTAGCAGGGGTGGCACAAAACTCCCTATTTAGCTCAAGAGTTTTGCATAAAAAGCTTTGGAAGGATATTTTGCTAAAATGACAGCGGTTTGTTTTTCTGTCCTTCATTGCATTCGTAGTATTAGATATATGTACATTGTTATCATTTTTTTGGTATCATTAAACGTTCCATTGCATGGCTGTTGCTCTGGTTAAACTCACCACAATGTAAACAGCAAAATTTAAAAATAGAAGAGCGAAAACAAAGAAAATACAGAACAAATTCCAGGCTAAACAATGCACGAAAAATAAATGTGTAAGCAGTGCACTCAATTAAGTTCAGGAGTATAGTCTATTGCAAAGAATATTTTGCCGCTGTGAAGTGGCTGAGATTGTGTATACTAGCGGTTTTTCCATTGGCCAATAAGTGAGTCAAAACACTTAGCCTAAAGATAAACATTCAACATAGATTTTTAGTACAAGAAAATTCAGAGATATTTAATTTCCGTACCTTATATTATAAACCCAATCTAATTTGTAATGTAAAAATATAACTTTTACCAAAATGAAAATTTTGAATAATGTTTCTGGATCCATATTTCATAAGAAACTTAATGTAAGGCAGGCTTAAATGCAAATTTACTGTGTTTTCCCTCTGCTGTAATTTAAGGCACAACACCATTCTACGGGTTAAGTTTGTTTTCATTTTCACGGCGTATTTCCTGCGCAGACTCCGAAATTGTCCGACTTATTCGGCATCGCAGTCGACGCCGCTGTCTGTCCGATAAAATTCAGTTCTCATGCGGCTTTCATCCGAAACGCACCGTAACAGTTCGCAACGGAATATTGCCAAACAGATACTTTTAAAACTACGTAACGAACTTCAAAGCGACACGTGGGTGTGAAAAAACGGCTTTATAAAAATCACCGTGTAATTGCAGTGTTCTTTAAATTACAAGAAATCGCCCGAAATATAGTTAAATGGTATGAGTTCTTAGGTAAAAAGTTTTAGTTTTTGTGCATCTCCCAACTTATTTTCCGGAATATTTAAATTGATCCACATTACACCAAGTATTCAAACTTTTTGTCTGATGTGTTTTTGCGAATATCCCAACAAAGGTTTTATAATGAAAATATACTACTGTTCACTAAACCCAGTTTCAGATTAAAACTGTAAGCCTCACATTTAAAAAACGTTTTAATGAGATGCTTGGAAAAGAAATAAGTCAAGTGGCTTTTCCCCATTATAATCAACAGTTTTTTCCTCTGAATTTCACGCTGTTGTGTGTGGTTTAAAGACGATGTGAACTTAAACACTTATAGCTGTTTCAACTGAAAAAAAAAAACAGACGGCGAACAAAAGTGAAGCATGCTCATCAATTATTTGATTTAATCACCATAAGCGAAAGATTGAACTGAGTATTTATGCTTAAGAGCATAGCTCTTCTATTTTTAAATTTTGCTGTTTCCCGGCTAAGAGCTTGGGAAATTGATGATGCCCAGTGCCAAAAATATCTGAAGCATTTTCTGAGATTGTATATAAGCGTGTAATTAAATAAAATTGATTCAGATTCGAAACGTGCCAGGAATTATTTAATTAGGTTAAACTTTGCCACGTTAGAACACAAGGGAAAATATTCTTGTGAAGTCAGTAATTATTTTATTCATCTAAGGAAAGTTGTTGGGCTCCATCAAAAGATTTTCTGATTACTCCTTGTAATTTGGTTTATAAACTTTTACGAAAATTAATTAACCCAAGTACCCAGGATTATCTTTGCCTTCACTCAGTGTATATACTCGTATTTATACTCGTATGTCCGTTGGCATATTTAATAAGCTGACAATGTATCAGCAAAATTTTCTCAGCTTTTGATTACATTTGACAGTGCACTTCGTGCCAAAAATGAGGGAAAGTGCATGGACGCACACAACAAAAAAGAAATAATGCGGTAATAAACAATAAAAATAAAACAATAAAAGAAACCGAAAGACTCAACAAAATTGCGTGGAAAAGCAGCCAACATTATGGTACCAGTGGAAAAGGGTGGGACGAAAAGGTAGTCGCATAAATGGCAAAATAACGAGGGCAAAGGCGACAATAAGAGGGGTAAGGGATGAAAGCGCAAAAAATCCATACACCGAGAAAAAAGGTGTTTTAATAATTATATTCAACCTACAAATACAACCAGTTAGTTTAGGCTAATGCTTAAATTATTGCAAATGAGTATTTCTATTTACTTCTGTAATGTGGTACTTAAACATACTTAAACATAAACAATGTATGGCGAGCTAAACGAGTTTTGCATAGACCTGAGTTTTTCTCCCTGTGCACGAAGCCTGAAGGGGCAGCAAAGCCCTTGCAAATGTCGTGCGTTAGTACGGCGGCATGGCCATTTAGTTGGGACCGGCGTCACATTACGTATACGCAATGTGCACGAAAATTACCAGTAGTCACGTAGCAAAGCAAATTCCAACTCCACTCTTTTACTACACACGAGCAAGTGCACGTGTGTTTGTGGGCGAGAGTGTCTGAGTGTGCGTGAGGCTTATCAGCCATCATAATAATTGTTCGGGGCAATTTTCCTGCCAAGTCTGACCAAGGTCCCTTAGCGTCCATTCCGACATTCGACAGGAATAATTACACACACATTTGGCTGTCATAAAACCGAAATTTTGTTGAAATGTTCAACTGAAATGACAGCGCAAAGCATTTACAACATTTTGTATATTTTGTATTTGCCCCCCTGCCAAATTCGCTTGTTTTTGGATGTCGGCTGATATTTCACTTTTTGAAACACGAAAAGTTTGTCTTTTTATTTAGATTTCAATTTGCATTCTGATGTGTATGCATTTAACGACGCATAAATAGAGCAACACACACATTGAAAAAGCACCTTAAAAACATTGAAATTTGAAAGCAATTAAATCAAATGACGTTTTTTCGCCAGTCAAACATCAGCCGGTGACATAAAATCATTAGTGACATCAACAATTAATCAAAGCAGCCGAATCTATAAAAAACTGTGAAAGCTTATTTATAACAGCTTCTCCATTCGACACTTGGAATTGCAATTTTTGGATTGCGAAACAATTTACTACGGATTAAAATTCCATTAAATGAATTTTGCAATTAAAACGAAATTCAGTGCGAGCAAAAAGTCCTGATGGCAAATGTATGCACCAATTCCAAGAATTATGGAGAAGGTGTGAATTTAGAATACGACAACTATTGAATTTCATTATTTTAGCTCGTTTTCCCATTTCAAGAAATTGACTAATGCATATTAAACAAAGGTATACAAAAACGTTAAGCATCAAAAAAGGCATAACATTACAGGCGTGTAAAAAACAATTTTGTTTGCTCTCAAATTTAAATCGAGTCAACTTAATCAAATCGAAAGTTGTCATTTTGCATTCAAGATTTTTCTTCTTTTTGATGTGAAAGCCCCTGTTTCAAAAGGCCGGCGGCTTAACTGTAAACTTGTTTGCATATTCTTGAAGAAAAACTCATGCATATAATTTTGTTTTGTGTTATTTCATACTGAAACTCAATTCAAGTTTTCATCTTGGCTGTAATAAAATTTGAATTTCATTAGGCCGGTAAAAGAAACAAACATTCAGTGAAATACCGGGGTGTTTTTTTTCATTTGTTTGCTTTCTCTCCGTGTATAGAAAGTAAATAGGAATTTCGTGCTTTCCTAGGAAAATTTATTGCTATTGGTTTCACACAAAACATGCATGAGACGCTGAAGTCGACGGCTTATGTTGTCCTTGGGCACACGCGACGTATGCGCCACACACGTATTGTTCCTTTTTTGACAAAAGTGTTTTTGGATAAACTTAATTCGGGAAAAATAAAAATCAACAAGCACTAATCTTTGCTGCCACATAACTTCAGCTGAAAATGGGCAAAAATACTGAAAAATAAAAAAACACACATTTGAGTCTGAATCTTTGTTTTCTATCTAGACATATTTGGTACGTGATTTTACACTTAAAACTGTAATTGCTGGATACGTTTAATGGTTTTAACCAGATGCTAGGTATTTTTTTGTAAGTTAAAAATGGATTTCCACTTTTACTATGTGTTTTCTTTCTGAATTAAAATCTGTTGAAAGCATGAAATTCGATGGATTTCAGTGACTGACCCCCTTCGATAAAGCTCTCATCTGAAAATCGCCGATTTCGCCGGCTTTTGGCCCGAAGGCAAACATCACGTATACGCCCTGTCGTTGCCCGTTGCCCTTTTTTCGCTCACGCCGCCTGCAGTTTCGCTATTTTCCGCGTAATTGTGCGTGCCAGAAAGGACAACAAAGAGACGAGAAGCAGACGGGACCAAATGTCCTCCACAAGCCCATCCTTTGGCCTGTCTAGCATTCACACCCGGGCAGTGGAATTGGCCAACTGCGTGGATGGTGGGACCTTTGCCGGACACTGGTAATTGAATATTGAGAATGTGGTATAAGCTTTTCGATTACAAGCTGGGTCTTCCCGTCGGCGACCCAGTTTTCATGTAATTCCATCGATTTTCACCCAATCAATGTTAACAAGTGCCACCCAATCGTCAGTTTCAGGCCCTTTTATTGTTCGCTTTATCCCTTCACTGTTTTTTTGACTGCCGGTAATAGCTCCTTGTTAGAAACACTTTTAATACACGTTTACGATATCGCATCCTTTTTTTTTTATCTTGTTTAAGGATTTTAAAGCAGCAGAATACATTAATTTGTACACTGTTTCATTTTTAGCAAATACGAAGTTGCCCAACTCCCTTACTTTGTGTTGAGAAAGCGATGCACATCACTTGACAATCAAACTTCTTTTGCCCAAGCTGGAAATGTTGGCATAAGACAAGAAAAATTGAGTATTAAGTTGCGAGCATTAATGTCGCACTGAACACTGTTGTCCGCCATTTAAATAAAGTATTTGACATTCATTTTCTTTCTTGACGGTAACGAACTCATTTGCGTGTGGGCAGTGGAAGTCCCTCATTAGAGATGAAAAATTGTTGACAAATGAAGACTTTACAGGAAAATCAAGTGCACAGGCAGAAGCGTTCGGCAAATAAGTGCCTAGGCTCTTCCACTGCCGAGCATTATGCAAATTAACTGGCAGGTAAACAGTAGAAAGTGCCTTCACTGGCCTGTTCACCCTGCTATTTAAGAAGCTTATGGACTCCTCACTAGCCATGTTTGTTAAAAAGTACACAAAATTCTATCAAGGCATAGAATCTACATCGAAGTATCCTGGAAAGCAGCTAGGTGAAGTATGACTACAGGTCGGTTAATTAAAGGCGAACAAAAGTTCTCGGCAGAAAGGGCAAACAGGAAGATGACTTACAAATTTGCACTCTGCAGATTACTTCCGGTTAGGAAGGATATGATTTGTGTTTCGGTATAAATATCTTCTCTGCTTTGCTTTCTAACCTTATTTTGCATGCAGCTTACTGTGTTATTTTATTGAGAACACGAGAAGATAAATGGTAATTTTTCCTTTTTTCATACTTTAAGTGAGCATTTCTCTCTTTAGTTTTGATTTATTTAGGCTTGAATAATTATGCGAAAATGTTTATTTTCATTTTGATTTTTTTAATTTATTCCGCTTGTCGCATTGTAGCCATAATTATTCGCTTGGTTTGTTCAGTAAATTATTAAATGTTATTTTTCATTAGCGTGCTTTGAATATTCGGACTATTTATTCTAAAAATTGTGATTAGCTGATAAATATGTATGTACTCTCTTGAATTGTGCACTTTAACAACTTCAGTTGCCGACCGAAATGTATTAAGCTGTTGAGTTTAAGTTTGGCAGATATCATTTGATCTAGATTTAAGCTGTCAACATCGTTTTGTTGCCTTGTCCACTGTCTAAATTTTCGTTTTGTACCCAAGAACACCCAATTGCCTACCTTTCTCAAAAACCTGCAGTTTGCAGCTTGACCTTCTCCGTTGGCGTTTTCATCAAGCCTTGTCGAGAATCAAAATCCGG